CGACATCATTGGTCATCAGGGAAATGAAATTAAAATCATAATGAGATATACTATACATCCACTGGACTAAAATTATAAAGACTGACAAAAACAAGTGTTGGCAAGGATGTGGAGGAACTGGAATTTTATACACTTCAGGTAGGGATAAAAAATAGTACAACTAACCACTTTGGAAAACAGTTTGGCAGTTTCATAAACTTATATATACACCATCATATGACCCAGTCACTCCAGTCTTAGGTATTTACCCAAGAGAAATTAAAGCACAAATCCACATAAATAAAGACTTGTACATAGATGTTTATAGCAGCTTTCTTTGTAATAACCGCCCCCACTTCAGAAAAACAATCCAAATATCCATCAGTCAGTGAATGGATAAACACATTATCCATATAATGGGAACCAACTTAACAGTGAAAGGTAACAAAGTACAGCAACATCATGATAAAATTTCAGCGACGTCACGCTTAGCCACACGCAAGAACGTACATGCTGTGTTATACTACTTACATGCAATGCTAGCAAGTGTGCACTATCAGTGGTGCATAGGACAGGAAAGCCTCTCTAACAAGGGTAAGAGGGGACTTTGTGGACAGATAAAAATGTTCCCTATCTTGATTGTGGTGCTTACATAAGTGTATGCATTTGTTAATGCTCATCAAACTGTGCATTTATAATGGTGCATTTCATCTTATGTAATACAATTTAATATAGTTGATTTGTTAAAAAAAAATAGAGGGAGTACTTGAAGGGATTCTGAGGATGGCTCTCTGGGATCCTTCAGGGATGACAAACTGTCTTTCGCTGCTCCATGGTCCTTCCACCATCCCATGCCATCCCACTCCTCCCACCACATCCCCAGAAAGTAAGAGAGCTGTTTGACATGTGTCTCTTTGAGAGTGAAGGTTCCTGCTCCATGCAATTTCAGAAGGTAGAAGTCTTGATGGCATAATGTGTGCCACTGTGGCTTGAAGAGATCCTTTAGTGTGCCTGGAAGAGGAAGGAGGAAGGAGGAAGCCAACATACCTTCCCCTGTTCTCTGCGACTTTCATAAGGCACAGAAGAGGACCCCGATGTCTACTGGAAGCACAGAACTTTGTAGAGAGGTCACAGGTGTACAGCAACTTGAGTGGGGGCCGAAGGGACACACAGCTGCCCCTCTAGGGCAAAAGAGTCCCATGAGGGAGCTGGCATGTAGCCGAACATAGCCTCAGGAAACCATGCGTACAGCTACAGCAAGATAGCAGATGCCACGGAATAAAGTGCCACCAGATCAGGACACAGGACCTCCTACTACTGAGGCTGCTGCTCCCAGGCACAGGAAGAGGATTTCTCTCTCCTCCCCGCTGGGGTTGGAGTCGGTGAAGCTGGGATAGACAGTGTTAGTTCAGGGAGAGAAAGCTTGTACCTATGAGTAAGGACAGCTAAAGATATTGAATTTTGACAGAATTGTCAACAGAGAAAGCCGAAGACTTTAACAACAAGAATAGATTACAAAAATCAGTGGACCAGACTAACATTTAAACAAAAATAGGGCAAAAAATAAGACATATGCTCTGGGTAGATTTTAAGGTTCAAAGAAGTTTTGAGAATATAGCAAGCTTCATTAAAAAAATTTGCATGTATCTACTTCAGTCCAACTGTTACACTTACATTCAAATAGGATTGTTATGATACACTCCTTTGCAACCTGCTATTTTCACTGGGTTATATATTGTGAACATTTGTCCATGTCAATATATAGTCTTCTACAACATGGTTTTTAATGTCTGTGCAGCGTTCTACCACATGAATGTACGTGCTTTATTTAAATGGTAGCTTATTGTTAAACATTAAGGCTGTTCCGTTTTTTCAGTATTATAAATAAGTTTGATGAAGAATCTTACACATGTATCTTTTCACACATCTCTGATTGTGCCCATAAGATAAATTCACAGTTAAGGAATTGCTTGTGCATGGGATATTTGTATTTTAAGGCTCTTAACACCCTTTAGAAGGTTTGTGTCGATTTATACTGCCACTAGAAATAATTTTAAAGGCGAATTTTCTATTTATCTGTATCTCGTTCTTACTCAACAATAAATTGAACTGGCTAAAGGATGCCCATATATCCATCTTTTTTTCATTATTATGTTATAATTAGGGTGAGTTTAGAACTAGTAAAATTAGCAACACTAGCAATGTTTTTCATCCTCAGTTTAGCCACAGAAATGGCCATGTGGGTGTAATGAAAGTAATAATAATGGAGTTAACCTTTACAAAGAACTTACTGTATGCAAGTAACATTCACAGTACTTTACAGATATTAACAATCCTATGAAGTAAGTACTATTACCCTTGACAGTTTAAAGGAGAGGAAACTGAGTTACCAAAAGGGTAAGTGCCTTGATCAATGTAGCTTTTCAGTATTAATATGTATCATTCTTATCTGGATTCTTTCAGTATTTCTCTACATGGTGATTCTTTTAATTTGCATCAGATCTTAAATAATTAAGATCTTTCTCTTACACAGACTAAACACCGACTCACCGCTGCCAAAGACACTTGTGCTCTGAATATGAAATCCTGTGGTTGGATGGTCTTGGGACCCACTGTGGCAAAATTCTATAGACCCTGTCCCACACTCTGTCATGAAAATGGGACTATATTACAGTTCTCATTCCCAAGCACAGCACTGTCACATACCGCCCCAGTCAGTTGTAGAGTTTGCCACAAGTAATTTGTTATAAATGATTAAGTTCTGAAGTTTGCAAATGGAGCACTTTTCATGTAAATTGGAGTGGATGTGAGATTATCCTTGCCTAAGGTCACCTCACTCCCACACATTCCCATGTGCTCTCAGAGTAGGAGAGAAGTGGGTGAAGCCTTCGCAAAGTTGTGGAGGAGGGTTACCAGCCTGCAACCTATCCTGCCTCTGCACCCGGGGAGTGGCTGGCACATGCATGTGTGGGTCTCTGCAGGAAAAGCATGGAGAACTACAACTCCAAATGGAAGGAATAAAAGGGGAGGAAACAATGAAAACAACTGAAGAGTAGGAAAAGGTGTTTCTGCCTCAATGCAACTGGAAAAAAATTAGACATTTTCATTCCCAGCCCAGCCTTCTTTCCTCAATTAGCATCAGGAAGCCAAATTTAGTTCCCTAAAAAAAAAAAAAAAAAAGAACTATGTGTGCCCAGCGGGGAGAGATGATGAAAGCACCAACTTTATATGTTTGTGTTTCAGCCTGTCAAAGGCTATCAAGATGGCCATGAAAATAATGGAACCTCCTAAAATCTTTGTTGTTAAAGAAATGTTTTCTCATCAATGAACAGCTTGCCAAGGCCAGATAAGCAGCATGAAAAGCAGAAAAAAAAAATGCTTCTGTTTGCTTATTTAGAGAGTTGTTCTTAATAATTCATCTGCTTACAATTTCCAGAAAGCAATTGCCATCCCTTGCCCATTGACTGGTTGGGAAAGGTCTCTTACACTGTTAAATTGTCCTTTTTCTTCATTAGTCTTTGCACCTTACGTTAACTACATTCTTGCATGCTAGTGAGCAGTTAGGGCCACTGTCGGCTAATGAGGTCAAGGTTAAGGACTATAAAACTAATAGAATAGTTAACTGATGGTATTTTATAGTTAGAAACTGGACACCTAATCCCAGATAGACATCTTCCAATTTAATGCCTATGTTCCGGGCCAGCACCAGCCTAGCCTCTTCTGGAGAAATAACTCAAAGCAGTGTCATTTTGGTATATCTTGATATATAAATGGTAAATCACTGTTATTCTCCAACATCAAAGAATAAACATGTTTTTTCCATTTAAGGGCAGCCTCATCAAGAGTATTTCCAACTCTTAAACTCTTCGTATGGTTTTCAGGGGTGTCCGATCTTTTGACTTCCTTGAACCACATTGGAAGAAGAAGAATTGTCTTGAGCCACATATAAAATACACTAACACTAATGATAGCCGATGAAGTTTTAAAAAAATCACAAAAAGATCTCATAATGTTTTAAGAAAGTTTACAAATTAGTGTTGAGCCGTATTCAAAGCCATCCTGGGCCGCGTGTGGCTCTTGGACTGCAGATTGGACAAGCTTGATTTATATGGCAGACCCTCCCTGCTTTTGCAGGCATCTTGCCCCAAATGGCTTTTGTTGGGGATTAATATCAAAGGAACATCTACCTTTTACTCAATAATCCTCTAAATTTTGAGGTGATCATTCCAACGTGGAATACATTTTAAAAAATGGTTTTGCTTTTTTTCTCTTGATAAAAGTAACATATTTGCATTATAGAAACCTTTAAATGCAGAAAAGTATAAACAAAAATATTAAACTTCCCATGGACAATGTGGGAAGAATTGCATTTAAGTATTTTGATTAAATTATGGACCGTCCTCAGTGATTGAATTCTACACTGCAGGAATGACTCCTAACTATCTCTCTGTGCCATTGTTCTTACAGTTTTTTATTTAAAAACTGTTATGACTGTTTTCTGTGTATAAATGCAAATCTCTGCTGTGAAATGCCATCAGATGCTTTTCTGTAAATCATAGCACAGAATGTATCCTTCTTTGGAAAACTACTGCCATTAAATATTACTGTCCTTGTTATAGAAGAAAGAGAGGGTGATAATTCTAGAAATGAAATATTTCAGAAGAATCATGAATGAATGAACAGTGGTATTTACTACTTGAAGAGACAAAAATAAATTAATGAATTTGGGGAAATAGGACTGTTGATATCTAACATCCAAGATCCATAACCTCCACAAATCATAGTTGTAGAAAACCTTATTTCAAAAGAGTGTGATGGATAAATAGACTTAAACCATTTTTATCTTTCTGGATTTACCTTGGTAGTGGCAAAATTTAATCATGTTTTCACTCTTAATAAGTCAAAGTTGTGGGACAACTGATTTCATCTCATGTTTCTACACATATCAGGAAGAAGAAACAGACATTGCCATGACTCTAAAGCAGAGATGCTTCTTTCGTACAGGATAATGATTTCTAGTTCCACTCCAATTCGAAAATTTTCAAAGGAATGAGGAAGAAGGAAAGGACCAGCCAGTCTTTATGATAACTTAGGAGAGCTCAGTAGGTAAAGGGTCTGATGCATAGCAGGTGATCAACTCTTCCTTTATTATTGGCAGGCTCCCACAGGCAAGAGCACATCCTACTGGAGCTGAGGAAGAAAACAATCTGTCCATACCCACTGCCTGGAGAATGATCTGTTGCCAGAAGCTAGATGACTTCGGGTCTAGACAAATGCCAAGCTATGCTAAGGGAACTTGGGGTTCTTGTCCTGGAGAATTGCAGAATGGTGGGGAGAATGTATTGTCTAGACACTTGCGTTACTCAGAGTTTGAATGAAAGTGTATTCCCAGGTTTAATAATAGCCTGGCATCCTCTCCTTATGAATAAGGCATATGTGTCTAACAGAGAAAGTCTTAACCCTTGAGAGGCAGGATAGCATAAGAAAGAACCGGAGACCTGTCTGCTGACCCCTGCTTTTGTTCACTTACATGCTTGCTGTGTGACCCTGGACAAATCACTTCATCTCTGGGTCTTTGGTTTCCTAATGAGTGTAATGAGATCCTTTCCAATGATAATTCTCTGTAATTCTCCTCATATGTATGGCTATAAACCACAGTGCCCTTACTGGTCCCGCAAGTGATACACAAATAAAGAGTTGCTGCTTGTTGGTTTTTTCAGTTTGGCGGCCACAGACTCCAGGTTTTGTAACAAAAATATATTAGTCCTTTCTCACACTACTATAGAGAAATACCTGAAACTGGGTAATTTATAAAGAAAAGAGATTTAATTGGTTCACGGTTCCACAGGCTGTACAGGAAGCATGGTGCTGCACCTGCTTCTGGGGAGGCCTCAGGAAGCTTTTACTCATGGTAGACAGCAAAGCCGGAGCAGGCATCTTACATGGTAGGAGCAGGACCAAGTGTCGGGAGGAGGTGCTACACATTTTTAAACAACCAGATCTCACAATAAGTCACTCACTCAGGATCCGGAGAACAGTTCTAGGGGGGCTGGTGCTAAACCATTCATGAGAACTCTGTCCCCATGATCCCATCACCTCCTACCAGGCCCCATTTCCAATATTGGGGATTACAACTGAACATGCGATTTGGGTGAGGACATAGATCCAAACCATATCAAAAAGCAAGTACATATACCACAGCTTTCTTGTTTTCTTCTTCCACCTCACACATAGCAGTACTAAAGCTGACCTTCTTGACAGTGGGGGCAATGATAACGACGACGATAAACAGGTCACTTCAACAAAGAAATGATAATGAGATGGGAGAGTTCTCTGGCCCCCGTTGCAGGGTGTGTGACAAGGGGTACAACTCTCTGTTCGATCTCCACGGGCTCAAGCCCCTTACAGGAGGGGGAGCATGCAGACAGGCAGGTGCAGGAATTGGGGCGAGCACTTTTGGGCTCCGACCCCACAGCAGCGTATAGGGGTGGCTGCCTGTGACCCCAGTGTTACAATGCTCTTTTAGCTCTGCCATCCACAGGTGGTTTAAGTGTTAACAAGTTCATTGGCCCCTTGGTACCCGGTCATCCCAAAAGAATTGGATCACACACAGACTGGAAGGATGAATGCAGGGGTTTTATTGAGTGGTAGAGGTGGCTCTCAGCAGGATGGATGGGGAGCTGAAAGCGGCGAGGGAGTGGGAAGATGATCTTACCCTGGAGTTTGGCCATCCAGTTGCCAAACTCCTCTCCGACTTTCCCCAGCCAAACTCCTCTCAGCCTTCAGCTGCTCCTTCTTTTCTCTCTTTCTCTGCTGCGCCATTCCGCCGTTCATCTGTGTGTCTCCTCGTCTCCTAGTCTGCCTCTGAAGCCTGGGGTTTCGGGTTTATATGGGTACAGGTTAGGGGGTGTGGTGGGCCAAAAGGCAACTTTTTGGGAACAAAAACAAGAATGCCTGTCCTCATTTAGGGCTGTGGGTATCCAGGCTTGAGGGTGGGGTCTTTGCTGGGGAACCACCCTCTTCTACCCAGTATTTCCCTGTCTCCTGTCCGTATCAATAAGTCACTCAAAGCTTACTTTTGAAGTCTCTTTTCTGTCTGAATGGTCAGCAGCATTCACTCTTCAAATAGGAAAGGCCCAAACCAAGGGTTCCCCAACTTGCTCCTCTTTTCGTGTCATCTGGATTAGTAAATGATGCCTCATTCAATCCAGTGACTCAAGCCAGAAACTGGGAGAGATCCTTGACCTCTCTCTATCCATCAGCCATCCTGTACAATCCATCACCAAACTGCAAACAGCTTATCCACTTCTCTCAATTTCCACTATGGCAGGCCTTGTTTAAACCCCTATCAACCCTCACTGAGGTAGTGCACAAACTTCCTGAAGTCTCTCCACACTCCCTCCATCATCCCACCTTCTATCCATTCTTCCCACTGCAAACACAGCCATCTTTCTAAAATACAAATCGGATCACTTCATTTTCATTCTTGAATCTCTTAAGGGGGTATTCCCATTGTACTTAAGATGATGTTGCAGATCTTTACTCTAGTTTATCAGATACCACGTGAACTCTCCAGCCTCCTCTCCCACTCATTCCCCAACACCACTTTCTCCTCAAGGCTTCCTCCTATCTCTCCATATTATGCTCAGGCCCATCCTGGATCCGGCTAACCCTTACCCATGTTGTTTATAATTATGTGTTTGATTGTTCACTTAGTTATAACCCCTTTCTCTCATGAGGTTCCATGAGGGGATAGAGCACTTCTGTCTTCTTCATCACGAGACTTCAGTGACCACCACAATGGCCAGTTCACTGCACACAAATCTTTGTGGAATGAATAGACAGGTGAGGGCCCCTTAATAAAAGTTTCTTTCTTCTGGTTACTTTATTTCCATCCTATAAGCTATTATCAGGAGCAACACTGCAGAGGATCATTTTTTTGTAAGTTTTTCACTTTTGCAAGAGCTCTCCCTATGAAGAGCTTTTCCATTTTGGCCTAGATAGGCCTTATTTGAAAGTGGCCATCACTCTTCACACGCACCCTCCTTTGCTTAGAGATGCAGAGAGTTTAAGACTTTGCCAAGGGTAGGCATGTCGTCAAGACACTCAACATGGTGATGTGGAGCAAGTCTCTGGGTCAACCCCTACAGAGGTTTGAATCTTGGTTCTGTCCCTGTCTAGCTGATCGACTTTGTGCAACTAGCCTCAGTTTTTTTCAACTCTAAAATATGGATAATAATAGAATCTAACTGATAGGTTGTCTTGAGAATTTAATGAAGTAACAAATATAAAACAGTTAGTACAATGTCTGGGACACAGCAAGTGTCTGATAAACATTGACTCCTATTAACATGTTTCACTCAATCCCAGAGGAAAGTTTGTTCACGTGCTGAGTTCTAGGGCTGGGGAATTTCAGGGGAGGCATCTTTCTTTGTCTTCTGTCTCCCTTTCCCTCTCATTTATTTTACCCTATACCCCCATCCTGATGTGCTGTGGTTCCAAAAGGCGGCAAGCAAAACTATGATAGATTTTAATTCCCTACCTTACTCATTTGAGGCCATAAGCGGATTCGAAATTTACAAGCCAGCAGTATAAAATTGCTGATGACCATTGCTTAAACTTTGGCAAGATGAATTCTGCCTAGAAATAATTAGTAATATGTTAGTCAAGTCAACAATAAAATTGTTGCACTGGCATTTAGTGACAGTTCAGGAGAGCGCCCTTACAAGAGGCTCTGTAGGCAGAGAGTAGGTGACATTAACCTTCTAAACAGAAGCCGCTGCACACCGAGTGCCAGAGTACCAAGAAGAATTTAACATTCCACTCCTACTGCCCTCCCCCACTTCCCGGCTTCAGCAAGGTGGTTTTAAAACGAGGAGCACATCCCGAGTGCTCTGTGTAGGTGGTGAAGTAGGCGGAGGTGAAATGCAAGCTTTATTTTCTCGGCTGCCTGTCATCCGATTCCCCGCTTTCCTCCGACTTTCATGAGTGATGAGGTCATCCCGGTGCAGGAAAATCAAACTCCTATTTTTTCAAACCCAATAAAGGCCAGCATTGTACGTCTGCGTAAACAGAGAGGCCAGACGGGCAGGGTGGCGGGAGGACTAGTGGCCCGCCCTCTGGCGGCCGCGAGAGACAGCGTGCCCCTCGCTCCGCCGAGCCGCGACAGGGAGGCGGGGAGGGTGCGTGCGAACATGTAAGTTAAAATTAGATCAATAGTCAGCTTAGCGGCCTCAATCAATGCTTCGCAGGGAGAGCATGCAACCATCTATTTATAAGCTAACCCCGGCATTATCTTCCTCTTTTAGGACGCAGAGATCCATTACTGCGCGCGGCGGGGGAGAGGACGCCGCCGGGAGCTGGTGCGTGCCACACTGCAGCCTTGCAGGCTGCCCCGGACTTCATCCAGCCCCGGGTCGGCTCTGGGCGGGCAGGGGGAGGATCCACACCGCCGAGCGGTGGCCCCGCTGCTCCCAGCCGCTCCCCCGGCGCGCCAGCTCAGGACTCGTTCCCGCCCATTCCTTACCTCGATGGAATCCTTAGCCCTTAGAGAGAGGGCTAAAAAACAAACAACAGACAAACAAACAAACAAACAAACAAAAAACAAATTCGAGACGGCCCCGGGACCCTCCCGCAGATGCAGGGCGCACTCTGGCCAGTTCTAACCATAGACTTGACTGCATGTTGACAAGGGTTTCCAACCTAGCTTTCCCGAGGTACTGCATGACTCAGTCCTTGCTCAGATGGTGGTTGCTGTAAATAGTTGCAATTTCCCTCCTTCCGTCTCAAAGCACGGATGGGAATGGATTTGCAGCAGGGACCGTGCATTGTATTTAAGGTCTTGGTGAGATGGACGCGGGCTCCATCAGCTCCAGACTTCCTGGGACATCTCGGCGTTTCCAGGTCCGTTTGCCCCAATGGTGGAAGTCACATCTCATATTTGATGAAATAAATGTCCACGTTTGTGATAACATTGTTAAATTGTTTTCAGTTTTTGAAAAATGCTGCAGAAAAAGAGGCAAAACCTGGTACAGCACAGCAGCATGCCCCTCCCGCCCCCAAATATGAGATCAAATCACATTTCTAAGGGAAAAAATAGGCATTCTCATCTTAGATATGTATGTAGCGTATTTTATAATATATATTTTTATCTAAGAATTTTGCTTTTCTGTATTTTACAACTTTCTTTATTAAGCATTTTTATTTTGTGCTATTTTTACAATACAAACTCTGAAGACCCAAAGAAATTTAATATTAGCTTAAATGTACATTAGATATATTTATAGAATCAATTTATTAGCTGCTATATTGTTTGACATAAAAGGCTTCTGAACTAAAGATAGAAACGGAAGCATTCTTTATTTAGAAACAACCTTTCTCCTCTTCTTCCAACTCTTGTTGGCTTACCTCCAAAATATATCCTGCATCTGTCTCTTTCTCACCACCTAGACTGTTCCTAGTTTAGTTACAGGTCACCCTTCATCATCATTCACCTGAATTATAAAAATAGCCTCTTGTCTGGTTTTCCTGAATTCATTGTCTCCCCACTGCAGTCCTCACTTGCCACATAGCAACCAGATTGCTCTTTTAAAATGGAAATCAAATCCTATCTCTTCTCTTTTTAGAACCTTCAGTGGCTTCCCATGGCACCCTGATTAAACCCCAAATTCTTCACCATAGCCAAAATGTAATGTGCCATCTGCCCCATCCACCCTCGCTCATCGCTCCTCATCTCATATCACTTTCTCACTTGTCACAGCACGCTTTTACATATCCCTTCTTTCAGATCTAAAGCCCTACAAGCTCATTTTTGTCTCCTAATCCCAGCTCTTGCTGTTCATTCAGTGTGGAAGATCTTCATAAATTCTTCACAAATCTACTTCATTCTTATTCCAGCCTCAGCTCAGGTATCAGAGCTGACCACCTTCTATCCCACCCCTCAACTGAACTCATTATCACATTACCATATTCTATTTCAACACAGTAATTAATTGAAATTATTTTATTTATCCATGGCATTATCAGGGTGTTCTCTGTCTCCACACACCAGAATGTAAGCCCCATGAAAACAGGCTCCTTGTCTTTCTCGTACACCGTGATCTCTCTGGGTTCTAGAATAATGCCTGGCCCATAGTTAGTAATCAGTAAGCATTGATTTAATAAATTATTGAGTGTGATTTCCTAGTGTCTTGTTTGTAAAATGCCACTAATAGCATTCTGTATACTCTGCCATGAGTTTTATAGTTATTTTTATGCCCATATGCTTCCTCCTTTCACGTGTGAACTCTACGAGGCAGGATCATATTTAGTTCATTTTATTCTCCATGTCCTTATGGAGTCTGGCACATTACAGGTGTTTAATATATTTTCTGGACTGAGTTGCAATAAGTAAATGGGTAATAAGATGATACAATATGACTTTACACCAAGTTTAACCTTTCACCTGGGGACATGCAAAATTATTATGTATCCAAAGGAACAGGTTGTTGCTTTGACCCCTGTAACATCACACACACATACACATGGACACACACACACTTGTTCTCGATATTTTCAAAGACTATTCAAATCTATTATTTTATTTGATCTCCTAGCTGGTATGTATAAGCAGAAGCTCAGGGGCATTAATTGACCTGCTCAAGATTGCATAGCTAATATAAAGCAGAGACAGGGATAGCGCCTGCTACTTTCAAACACCCACAATATGCACACATGAAAACACATGCACACATTTCCACATTTGCCAATATGGCTTAGTGCAAATGGGATCATAAATGCAAAGTACTTTGAATGGAATCTGGTATGACAGCCTTCCAATAAATAACCATTCCTTTCTCTTGGCCATGCTACAGTTGCCATAATCTTCCTGTTCCTACAAAGAGGAATGCTTCTATCTTCACTTTGTTTTTTTTCTTACTAGTCTGATCTCCAGGGTCATCCTTATTGTGAAATTTTAATGCATAATATTAATTGGATATTTTCACAAACATGAGCAATAGTAAATGGATTTTTTGCTAACTAGCAACCTATTGCTCTTCTAACTTTTACTCTGAACACAAACCAAAGAGAAACAGTTGTGAATACCTACCAGCACACAGCTTAGCTTAAGTCATACAGTGCAGTGTTAATGAGGAAAGTTTATCATCCACAAACAAACACTAAACATAGCATAGCCAGGGAGGACAAACAATGTGCAAAATTAGTTTTATTATCAGCAAAAAGAATGAGAGCCCATATTGATCATTCATTCATTGTTGCATTCATTTTATGTGCCAAGCACACTGTACAAAGTTTGGGAATAGAGAGGCAAGCAAAAATAAATGAGGTCTCTACTGATACGGGTCTAGTGGAAAAGAAAGACTTAAACCAAAGAATCACAAAACAGAGATCAATGCTGTGAGTGGGTAAAACAGGAGGAATGGACATGGTCAGAGAATTCAGAAGGGGAGTCCTTGAGGAAGTGACTGCTAGGTTTAGCTATGTTTTGAATTCAGTTATGGTCCAGTATCTCCAATGGTTACTAAAGAAGGAAGAAATGACCAAAGAAATAAATAATAACGGTGACTACCTTTGAAATTCTTTGATTTAATAAATACTTCTTGAGTACCTACTATCTACCAGGTAGTCATCAAAGTGCTAGGGGCTATAACAGTGATCAGAGACAAAAATCCCTGCCCTTATGCCTTTACACTGTTATGGAAGATGGCATACAGTAAACTCACACATAATTGTCATGGAAAAGAATGTTAACTGTTGATTTCTCCTAAGCAGAAAAATAAACCAAGGAAGTAAGATCGGGAAGTGGAGTTGGTGGGGCAGTGAGATACAGTTTTACTTAGGATAGTCTTGTATGCCCTCTCTGAATAATACATTTGAGCCAAGACCAAACAGTGGTAAAGCAGCAAGCTATGTTGATGTGAGTGGCAGATGTGGGTGGTCACAGAGGGAAGAACCTTAATGAAATCTTTAAGGGCAATGACCCTGAGACTTGCCATGAATCTGAAGGAAGTGCAAGGAGGCCAGTATGTCTAAAGTAACTGGAGTAAGCAAGGGGGTGACTAGTTACATGAGCACAGAGAGGTAACTAGGACATGAGTTCAAAGGGGCAATAGATCTTGAAGTACCTTGAAGGTAGGTATAAAGATTTTGGCTTTTCCTCTAAGTACAATGGAACTTTAGAAACTTTAGTACAATGGAACAATAGAAACTTTTGAACAAATGATTGACATGATCTGACTTTATTTATTTATTTACTTATTTATTTATTTATGAGACAGAGTTTCACTCTTGTTGCCCACACTAGAGTGCAATGGTGTGATCTCAGCTCACTGCAACCTCTGCCTCCCAGGTTCAAGCAATTCTCCTGCCTCAGCCTCCTGAGTAGCTGGGATTACAGGTGCCTACCACCACGCCCAGCTAATTTTTGCATTTTTAGTAGAGACGAGGTTTTACCACATTGGCCAGGCTGGTCTCGAACTCCTGACCTCAGGTGATCTGCCTGCTTCAGCCTCCCAAAGTGCTGGGATTACAAGCGTGGGCCACCGCACCTGGCCCTGACTTATGTTTTAATAGTTACTCTGGCTGCCATGTAGAGAGTACTCATTATGTTCCAGGAAATGTACTAAGTGTCTTAACAGAGAACCTCATTTTACTTTCATAATTCTGAGAAGTACCCATTTTACAAGTGGGAAAACCAAGATGTAGGGAGTTTTAACACCTTACTCAAGGTTGCGTGGCTAATAACTGATAGAGCTGGAATTAAAAGTCAAGTAATGTAATTCTATCACCCTGGCTATTAACCAAAATGTAAAAGTGCCTCCCTAAGAGAGACTGGGATGGGGGGGGTGTCAGTGCTGAGAGTAAAAATAATATCTATCATTTATTAAGGGTCTACCAGTCACTGTCCTAGATTTTCTCATTAATTTTATTTCATTCACACATCAACCCTATTAGATACATATTATTGTTCTTTTATTTTAGACGAGGAAACCAAAACTCAGAGAAGTTATGTAACTAAAGTTTGAACAGTTAATAATTAGAAGATAAATTCAAACCCAGAGTGCTTCATCTCTGAAGCTATGGCTCATTGCTTCTCAGATAAGAATGCTAAACTTCAAAATATATTTCTTATAAAGAACCTATAATTGAGTCTTCTATTTTTAAAATATCTACTATATCTTTCTTTTTGCAGTGCTTAGTGTACTTACTTATATAATGACTGAAATAGTTGCTTTAATTCTACCTACTTGCTATTTTTTTTTCTATTTATCCCATCTGTTCTTCGTTCCTTTATTCCTCCTTCTCTACTTGGTTTTCAATTAAGTGTATTGTATTCATTCCATTTATCTCCTCTATTAGTTATATATTCCTGACATTATTAGCTCTTATACAAGAAATTAATGTGCCTTCCTAGCTTCTCAATATATATTTTAAATTCATATTTTACACTTCACAAGTATTGCAAAAAGCTTGCCACAGTTTAACCTCATCAAGGCCCTCCAGTTTGTTTGTGATATTGTTAGTTTCATTCCCACACTGTTATGTTCCTCCAAGTCTTTCCTTATTTTTGTTTTAAGAAGTCAATATTCTTTTAATATTTACACACATACTTTTCCTTTACTGTGCTCTTTGTTCTTTCCTAGAGTTTAATATTTCCACCTGGGATTATTTTCCTTCAGCCTGAAACATTTCCTTGAGTAAAACTTAGAGTGCCATTCTCTAGAGACTATAAACTTGGGAGCTCATTGGATGGGTTTAAGAGCATATGGGACACAACATATTTAACTCAAAGACAAGATCATTTTTAAAAAATGCCTGAACTGAAACACAAAAGTGAAAAAAAGTTTAAACTCTCTCAAGGTTTATTTGTCTGAAAGTATATTTATTTTGACTTAACTTTTGAGTATATTTTTACTTGGTATAAAATTCTAAGTTGGCAATATTTTTCTTTCAGCTATTTAAAGATGTTAAGACATTGTCTTCTGGCTTCCATAGTTTCTACTGAAAAATCAACCGTCAGTTTTGTTGTTACTTTGAAAGTAATGTGTCCCCCTTCCTCCACCTCTGCTTTGATTTGTTTCATATTTTTTCTTTGTCTTTAATTTTTAGCACTTTGAATATTATGTGCCTAAATGGGGTTTTCATTGTTTTTATTCTTCTTGATATCCTCTGTTCTTGGATCTGTGGGTTGATATCCTCGATTTGTTTTGGCGAATTTGTTTTCTCTGCAACAATTTCTTCTTCTTTAGTCCCTCTTTTCTCTCATTCTGGCACTTTGGTTATGCAAGTATTAGATTTTTTGACTGTGTATTCAATGTCGGTAATGTTTTATTCCATTC